TGATAGTAAGAAACGTATGAGCGTCTACGAACAGATCGTTCGTAGAAAGGCCCGAAAGCTTGTGCCACGAATGGTTTGCCGTCTTTGGAATCATGGCACGACCGTGGTTATCTCTCAGCGGGACGATGGACAAGAAGCCAAGGTTCGTTTACAGCGGCGCGGATAACTGTGATGAGAACACTGACAGCTGACTTCACCAAGAGGCGTGAGTCTCTAGAGGACGATCTCAACGCATCGTTGAGGAAGTACGCAGGTGGGCTCCCCTCAGTGTGCAATGCTTTACTGGTGGCTGACTGATATAAGGAATTCGCCTGATTATCGAAGCCCTTGTCGGCGGCAAGTTTGCCAACCTCATTAACCCCGACCTCATTGTCGAAGCCATGTCTGGCTGGCCTGGCGAAGCACAATGCTTTTGTCGTGAGGTGCATGAGCTTGTTCATCCCGCGGCACCAGAACAGTGGGACGAATCTCCAGAGGAAGAAGTCGAGGATCGCTATTGCTCCTGGTGTTGCACACATCACGACCCTGACACAGGCTGCTCTAGCACGTCCTCAGGTCAGGACGTCGAAGTGGCATTTCAAACAAACTTGATCACCAAAGACGAGTGCCTCTGTATGAAGAAGCGGAACTTGTCCAGAAGCCGAGTTGGAGATAATGAGCTGATGCCCTTGGTGTATGATGTTCATTGCGAACGTTGCTACCCCGATCTTGGCAGCAGCCGGCCTGGGATCAACTCTTCCCCTCACCATGACATCCCTCCACAGGCCACACATATTCAAGGAGCTCATTCGGCGAGCCACGATGGAGAATCCTCAAGCAGTTCGGAGGGAGTGGCAGGTGGCGAGTTTCGGGAGGGCGACACTGGTACTTGGCATATCACAGCTGAGACAGCCGGCTGGGATGAGCCGACTGGTTGGGACAAACTGTGTCACGATCTCGAGGATTTATCCACGGAAACACTCAAGAATGAAGTAGCAGATGCTCTTCAGGAGCTAGAAACTTTAGGCCGAACGTCTTCGCCAACCATTATCGGACACAACCAATTCATGGACCTTTTGTTCCTTTACAACACCTTCATCGACGACCTCCCCGACAGCTTTTTGGAGTTTTTGGTAAATATTCACGAATTGTTCCCACGCATCGTGGACACGAAGCTGTTGGCCATTAAGGACGACACGATCGAGGGCGAAGACCCATTGATGGATCTATACAATAGGTTCGATGGCAACAGAACGCAGCCAAGCATCCATTGGGATGCAGCTTATGGCTATGGCCGTCGTGGAACAGCCCATCAGGCTGGCTTCGATAGTGAGTTGGCAGAACAAGCAGAACCGTGAGTGGCTCGACTAATGAAGATAGGCCACATGACGGCAGTTGTGTTTCTGCGAATTGCCCACAAACTCGCCCGCGAGGAATCGGCCAGGCTCGAGGGCCGAGCCGCGTCATACGAGAGCAAAGAATGGAGATTGTATGACAGAGAATGGCTATCAGCAGTTGGATACGAATCACAATTCCTGGGCTATTCGCAAGACTCGGACATTGGCACATGGAGAGAGTCCAACACCCAGGAAGGGTACGTGGGTCGGATTCGGTGGCAGATGGCCATATTCGACGACATTCGCGACCGAATTCGGATCGCCCCCCGCAAGACATTTAATATCGGGCCCGAATGGTGAGTTCAAAGTTGAGCTTGCGACGGAGCGTAATTGCCCTTGGATTGAAGAGTTTGCCGACCGTGCCAACGCGAAATCGCGTCTTGGGTTGTTGGTGGTGGCACTGGTCTCATGAGTAGGGAGACGCGTTTGTGAGTAGGACAATGAATCTTGCACTGTCGTTGAGGACGGATGACCCTTGGTGGATTTCTGGAGACGCCCCGCAAAACTATGTTTCGATAGATGAGCCTATCCATACTTGGTTGAAAGCACAATGAGAGCACGTCGGCGTTCGTCAGATTATTTGACATGTTGTCCAAGGCCACTCCTTCCCATCAGCTTATGAGCCTTATATGTTCCAGCTGCTCGGCGATTCCTAGGACGTAAGATGATCCGGTTCTAGAACCCCGCGACGAAGAAAATTCCACGTGTACTGAGCACCACAACAACACTTTGGTGCCAGCCGTGAGAAGTGGATGGTCTCTCACAGTCTATAATAGGAAATACACCGATGTAAGCGTCAGGGGCTAAATGGCGATGACATTCTCTCCGGGAGCCGCGTGGTTCTGCCTCCCGTGAGATGCCTCGGAACAATCTGGGGAAGCACAGGGGGGCCAGAAAAGTCTAAACCCTGAACGCATTCGCGCAAACTTGGGATTGACAGTTGAGAGGGGTAATTAATAGGATATCATAATAGATGCAACTAAGCAAAGCAGTAATTGAGAAGGGAATCCCGACTTGGCGGGTTGAATACAACACGAAGATTTGAAATGACAGGCCGCAGCGGGCATGAGACGATCGTCTCTAAATGGTTGGTGATCTCCGGGAGGTGAGATGAAAGCTCGGCCGGTCGTCGAGGGCAACCCCTGTTTCTCCGACCCAGGCACAGCGTCCTCCCCGATCAGGAAACTCCACCCAATGAGAAGTTCAAGAAGGCCGGACGCCGGGAGAAGGCCGCGCTCGTGGAGGCTAAAGAGGTACTTGACATGTGAGCCGTCCAGCGACAACGTCACTGGTACTCGCTTATCGCTCCCCTCCCCTCATGCTCTGGCGGTCAGCTGGCCAGCCACCCCAGTGGCAGCATACAACGCAGCAACGCAGAAGCTGGGGGGGAACCCACTAAGAAACAAACCGAGGCTAAACTTGGGCCATGGCCGAAAAGTGTAACCGTGCCGGTACGTGCCTGTCCCGGGCAGCTGTGCAGGTGCTGCGGTAATCGGCATGTTTGTCTGTCAGCAGACTCCAATTCCATTCTCCAGCAACCCCCAGCTACCTCAGCACCACCACTACCACACACCACACACCACCACCATAACGCCCAGGAACCCGAATCTAACCACATCCACATGTCGCGGCTCTCTTCACAACCCGCAGGTGGCATTTGAGCAGGAACGCGTATGATGGCCGCCATTCTCCGCACTCCAGATACATAACAATAGTCCCCGTTCTTTTTTCCCTCATTTCCCTCCGCCTGGGGCTCTTCAATGCCGACAAATTGACCCCGTTGCTTGCTGCTGTTGCCTCCCGTTCCTAAATGCCCGCCAACATGTCGTCCCTCAATGGCTCCTACACGGCGACCTTGAGTCCCACGGTCGCTTCTTCCGAGACCACCGCTACATTCCCACCACATATGCTCGCGAGCTCCATCTCGTCTCTATCCTCATCGACCTCAGCGCGCCATACCTCGCAAATCTCAAAGACCTACCGCCAGGCTTCGACTCTCTTCCTCACCCGCCGTCTACCCGAGGCACTATCCACCATCTTGCCATTGATCACCCCGCCCTCGGGACAGTCGGAGAACGGCGCAGGCGAACCAGCGCCCGTCGCCAGGGCCTCGCGATCCACGAGGATCAAGGTCTGGAGCTTGTACCTGACGACGCTCAACGCCATCGTCGAACTGGAGCCGGACGAAGGAAAGGATGCGTTTGGGAGCCAAGAGTGGAGAGCGCTGTGTACCAAAGTCAGGGAAGGAGACATCTGGGAGGAGGTCGTACGCAACGGATACCACGGCGTCGAGAGCGACGTCGATTCGGACGTTGTCATTAATCTGTAAGATGCCCTCTCTGTCGTTGTTTTTTTCCTGTTGCAAACACACACTAACAACAATATAGCGCAACACTTTTACTAGCCCACGCCCGGACACAAGAATTGAACCAAAGGAAGCTCGAGAGCTATCTCGCAGCCGCCACATCACCAAATCTGGACTTCTCCAAGAGATTTTCCGACTCGCCGTCGCCGTCACCACGGCTGAACCGGCATAGGTCTCCGGCGAAGGCCACCAGCGGAGCGGATACACCGAGGGATCTGAATGCTAGGGTCAAGATCCTCGAGCTGTACACGCTCCACGTACTTATCCGCAATAATGAGTGGGATTATGCCCGAGAGTTTATCAGCGTCAGCTCGGTACTAGACGATGAGCGCCGCGAGGCGTTTTTGCAAGCTCTGCAAAGCCTGCAGGAGGAACAGCAGGAAGCCGAGAGGCGAGAGACGGAAGAACGACGCGAGCAGGAAGAACAGCTTCGGCGTGATATTGAGGAGGCGAAGAAGTTGAGAGCCGAGAATGAAGAGAGGGAACGACGGAGATTAGAGGAAGAGAGGGCACGAAGAGAAGGCGCCGAAGGGGACTACGGCATCGAAAAGACACCGAGTAAAGCAGGCTCGAGTAAGGCGGGGTCAAGCAAGGGACGTCACGCCAGGGCCGTTTCCAACACATCAGGGTCCAACTCTAATTCGAAGATGCCCGTCTCTAGGGCAAAAGGGAAATCTTCAGCTCCGCCGACCTTTGGAACGAGGGCGTCAATGGTCATCTCTCGGATGCGCGAGGTGATTGACCAGCTGGGAGCATCATTTAAGACGAACCCGATGCTGCTGATGCGGCTCGTGGCCTTTATTTTGGGTTTGGTCGTCATGTTTGGGCAGAAGAACGTCCGCGAACGGATACAGCGGGTGCTTGGTAATGGTTGGAACAAGGTCAAGGCGACCGCGGGAATGGGAGTCAAGGTTAGCTACATATGATTACGACGCGGGTACTGGCTAGCTTTGACCTCACTGTACTATACGAACTTGGATGAACATTGGCCTAATTGTTTGGCCATTCTTTTTGATACTTATGCAAAATGAACCATTTCCTTTGTTTGGTGAAACCGTTTCATGCCGCTTTAAAAAAGATTATCATGTCTGACTTAGTGCCAATTATGCCGCAAAACCCTTGTCCCATAGCTGTGAACCAAAACACATCAAACGCCGCAGGCAATGCGATACCTGTCCCACGAAAACTTTGTAGTCTCCTCTGTCTCCTCGCATTCAAACAACACATCAAATTTGCCCATATCCCAGGCGACGCAGGGACTAGTACGTCGCCGTCCGATTGGTTTTCTTCTGGTAGAACAGGTCGGTCCTGGAGCTGCCGAGGTTTATAATCTTGGGGCACCCGTCGCGATCCTTTTCGAGGCGCGTGCACTCGAAGCAGTAAAAGGCGTCCGAGATGCCCTCGCCGCCGCAGACGACGCACTTGTTCTGGTAGTTTCCGAACGAGCACTCGTCGCAGATGCGGACGAGGGTCGTGGGGCGGACGTAGGAGTCGCAGACGGGGCACTTGCCGTCGCACTTGTCGCAGAGGCGGCCGATGGCGATGCCGGCTTGCTTGCGGCACATTACGAGATCGCTGGCGGGAGTTGTTAGCTTGTGCATGAATTTTGAGGGGTTTGACTGGGAGATGGCCTACGGGTGATGGCGCGACATGATGGTCAATCTGTGAGAGAAGCGCCTCTGGGTGGTGAGGTTTGGTGGAAGCTGTCTTGCGGGTCGCGGGGGGTGATGGTCGCAAGTCGCAGCTTATCGTACCCTCTCTTCACCAGGAACCTTTGAAGAAAAGACGTCCGCGCCTGTCAGCCTCGCCACTTCTTCCTCTCGGTTCTCTTTCGGTCATTGGTGCGGACCCTCGTCTGATCCGACCAAAGTGGGGTAGTCTGTGGGTTCGTCCCTCCGAGTGGCTGGACCCCGCTGACAAACCTCAGCCTTGGAGCTCGGGTTGGAGCTGTCAAGCTCCGGGATACCTCCCATGGGACCGAGGCGCATTCAGTTCCCTTCGTGCACACCGCATTCCTTCGCGTTCTGTCTTCTTTGAGATTGTTGCCGAGCAGACTGCGACTGCGACGGTGGGAAGCGACATCATCATGGCCACTGTTACAGAGTACAACAAAACCGGCTCCCTTCGGACCGAGCAAGAGAAGCTTACAGATTCCAGGGCACCTGCTGATACCATCAACCCCGAATCCGCGAGCTCTGAGATGGAGGTCACACAAAAACGGAAAGCGCCTATAGATTCTCTTGATGGAGCGGAAGAATCATCAAAAAGGGCAAAATTCGATGATGGCGACCACGGCGACCCACCTGCACAGGATTCGACGCGGGACTCGAGGCCGCGCGACGAAGATTCCCGAGCCAGTACCGCTCGACGAGCGCCTTTGTCAAGGGACGAGGAGAAGAAGCGGGGTAAGCGGCTGTTTGGAGGTCTTCTGAGCACCCTCAGCCAGACCAACTCCAGCTCGCAGCACAAGAAGAGGAGGGAGATTGAGCAGCGACAGCAGGAGAAGGCGCAGAAGCAGAGGGCAGAAGACGAAAAGAGACGGACAGAGAAGCTCGCGCGGATCACCGAGGCGCGGTGGAAGGAGCAAATCTTGTTTGACGAGAAAGTCGTACGTGCTTGCCCCTCTCCTCCCCTTGATGGCCTCATTCAAGTGCTTATAAGCTTTTCTTTATGGCAGATGAAAACCCGACATGCCAACATGCTTGCAAAGGCACAATCCCTCCGGACGAAAGCAGGACCGTCAATTGTGCGTATTGCATGTTGCGGAAGGGGGGAAACCATGAGCTGACGTGTTGCAGTACTATCGACCGTGGAAGCTTACCAAAGAACAAGAAGACGAGATTGACGACCAGGTGCAAGACGCTAAGAACACCATCGCGAGAGAACTCGAAGCGTTCAAAGATCGGAAAGAAGAACACGAGAGACGCCACGGCCGTGCCAGGCCGCCGGCCACGGCCCAGGAGGAGCTTGTGCCAATGGTCACAGAAGAACAACCAGCAGAGGCTCCGCCAGAGGTTTCTCCTGATGCTCCCGCAGCTAACGACCACACAGCTGCGTCTTCCGACAGAGACAGACATGAGCGGGACACGCATGACGAACCTGGTGATGTCGTTGAAAACGACGAGGATATGGTTATCTACTAATGCCTGACAAAAGCGAGTGGTGTTTTCCCATCTTTTCTTCCTCGGCGTTTCATTGTAAAAGACGCCACAACCGCGGTAGTTTATGTGATTGTTATAACATTAGGCGATATGGGAGGCATGCTATTTTCCCTGGCTTTGCGCGCGAGTTTGAAGGCGGAGTTGGGGGTTTTATGATACCATTTGGAGTTTAAAGCGGCGTTTACTTGGGAAAGGTGCCCATTGTGATATTTGAAAAAAAGAAGCTTGGGTCCAGAAACGGGATTCAGACCAACTTTGTTCGCCGGCTGAAAGGTTTACTACATACGTCGAGCCATGCTCTCTGACTCAAGCGCAAGACCAGTGACGTTCTCCTGCTTTAGCTTGGTGGGACCTTTTAGTCCAGAACAGCTGTTCCTTGCCGTTGAAGAATTGTTGGCCCCCGTCTAGACTTGCAATTTACGCTTTTCGGGTAAAGAGAATGCGATCTCCGGCTCTGAACCATATGTTGAAGATGACAATGGCGAAACCCCGTTTTGAGTACCGTCCGACGATGGCGAGTCACCTTGTCTCAAGTTGTCCCTGGACCGAGGCATCGCAACAGCACGGACGGGGCCCGCTAGGACGATTCTATCAAGGGACTCCGTTGGACAGCAAAGGCGATGCCCCGCGCGGGTGGATGCCCGGCCACGCCGTTCGCCAATGCCGCCGCTCGCCGCACGTCAGGTCCCCTGTCAATTCAAGCCATGCCCCTCACCTTGCGACCCATACGCTGGACCCAGAGCTTGGTGCAAACAGGTCGATGTTATCCTGTGTGCGAAGTACTGCATTGAGGTAGAGCCCGACAATGGGACAAGCTATGCCGAGGCTCGATTTACACCGCTCGTATGTTTTTCTTAGGTGGCCAGTTTCTATAGCTTTCTAAGCAATCGGGCGAGTTTCAAAGTGCGATACTTGTCTCCATAACTCGGCGACTCGGCGATATCTCGAATGGTATAAGTAGTTTTATCTTTCCGACAAGTCTGGTAATATAGGTATCGGTGAAGCTGCACACACTCATACAAACACGCATACACACCTTCTCTTTCATCAATCCCCGCAATAGCATTGTGAGGGAGCTTACAATCAGTCACTGAGCTGTAATAGCAAGGGTCTGTTCCTTGGCAGACGTCGAGTGCCAACGTGAGTATAAGACTACCGCGCACCCCGCCATTTACTAGCTGCCCCTCCTTCCCTCCTCCCGCCTTCCGCTACGGTCCCTAACAGCTTTCACCCCAGACGGAAGCCTTGCATACCGGTATACGGATACACACACCAACGATGGCCGTCGACAAGATCGCCCCCAACGACCCGCGCGTCGAGCGCAAGCAGGCCGAGGTCAGGGGCAAGACCTACTCCTACCTCTTCAGCAAGCCCGAGGGCGACGCCGCCCCCAAGGGCTCCGTCGTCCTCATCCACGGCTTCCCCGACATCTCGCTCGGCTGGCGCTACCAGATCCCCATGTTCCTCGCCCAGGGATACCAGGTCATCGTCCCGGACACCCTGGGCTACGGGCAGACGGCCTCCCCGGCCGAGCTCGAGGCTTTTTCCCTCAAGAGCATGTCGGACGACATCAAGGCGCTCTGCGACAGCATCATCCCGGGCGAGCAGATCATCCTCGGCGGCCACGACTGGGGCGGAGCGCTCGTCTGGCGCCTCGCCATGTGGCACCCGTCCCTGATCAAGGGCGTCTTCAGCGTCTGCACGCCCTACAACGCGCCCACGACGGCCTGGTTCGACCTCGCCGACGTCATCGCCGCGGGCCGCCTGACCAACTTCAAGTACCAGCTCCAGCTGCGCAGCGAGGAGGTGCCCGAGAAGCTCACCAAGCCCGAGGACATCCGTCAGTTCCTGCAAGGCATCTACGGCGGCAAAGGCCCCGCGGGCGAGCTCGTCTTCAACACGGAGAGGGGCATCATCTGGGAGAACATCGGCAAGATCGGCCCCACGCCGCTGCTGTCCGAGGAGGAGATTGCGTACTACGCCGACAACTTTAGCAAGTCGGGCATGCGCGGCCCGACCAACTGGTACCGCACGCGCAAGATCAACCACGACGAGGAGCTGCCGCTCGCGGAGGCGGCGGAGAAGAGCGGGGAGGCGTACAAGGTGACGCCGCCCAGTCTCTTCATCTCGGCGACAAAGGACGCGGCGCTGCCGCCGGCCATGGCGGCGGGCATGGACAAGCACTTTGAGGACCTGTCGAGGGGCGAGGTGACGGCGACGCACTGGGCGTTGTGGGAGGCGCCCGAGGAGGTGAATAAGCAGATCAAGGCGTGGATCGAGAGCAAGGTCGACAAGAAGCCGACGGCGTCGTTGTAAGAAAAGCCAAAAAGAAGAAGTGCGGCTCTCGAAGGAGGGGGCCGCGCGTGGTTGGATTTGACGTTAACGGTTATATTTATGACAGGCAGGGATGAACCACGGTTTCGGGAACGATTAGTGAACGGCCAATGTAGAATGAATTACAGAATTTGACCAAGCAAGGCCTCTGCGTTAATTGACCCTTGGAGTCCATTTTTGCAGCTATAACTATCTGTACCTAGGACTGTTGTTACCTTGGTTGGGATAAAGGAGCGATGTCAGATGTCGTGGGACTGTCTGTCTTGCTTGGCCCTCGTGGTTTGTATTCCTGGCCACTACAAGACTGTCATGACGGCCTGCCACCTGTTGAATCCCGTCTCTAACCTGGCGCATATTGAGCCGCGTATCGCATGGAGGTCGATGGCGCAGAGTATAGGCCTCATTGCCATGCCTTGCCGTTGCTGCTGCTGGCCCCTGTAGGCTGATCGGCTCCCAGCTTCTGGCCGCATGAAGAGTGCGCGTCACGAGGGTATCGTCTTGGGTGTTTCGACAACAGTGGTTTGTTGTAATGTTATGTTTCGTCTATAACCTGTCGCCGTCTCACTTCAACGTGAACTTTTGTCCCGCGATCGACGGGGCAGCCCCTTTGGCCTTCTTGTTCGGCTTCCCGCACGAGGCGCACGAGTCGGCTCGGTAGGCGCACGACTGGCAGAGGGAGTGGCCCTGAGAGACCTTTGTCTTGCACTTCGAGCAGGCGCTGGAGTACTGGGCGTAAGGGTTCTTGGCAGCTTTGGAGAGGAGCTTGCTCTTGCCGATGCCGGTCGTGCCCAGCGTAGCGGACTTGGTGGCGGAGGAAGACGAGGACGAGGAGGAGCCGTGGTAGATTTCGCTCTTCTTCTTGACAGAGGGCGTCGCGAGGGTCGTGGAGCCCTTGCCGAGCTTTTGGCACTTTGTGCAGACCATTTTCGGGGATGGGTTTAGATTCGGTGGATGGGTCTATCGTCGGTTGTGTTGAAGTCGCAATTACTAAAGGTTGTTCTGATGATGGTTGAGGGACTGGCAGAGAGGGACGAGTGGCTGGTGTCGCAAGTGATAAGGCTGAGATAAGATATGATAACAAATGTGGCTGGAAAGGACGGCAGCTGGAAGTGACGCAACGTCGCAGGGCGGCGAGTTTGCTGGTCGGTGCTGAAGACTGAAGTTTCTCCGGTGGGTCTGTCCAGATTCGTGTGGGTCCAGCACCGGGCCGGGCTAGAATTGGAATGTCTGCCCTGGAGAATGAGTGGATGACATTGGACGTTTCGATTGTCTGGACCTCTGACTCTGGGACCGTTGGCCCAGCACACGCGGTAGCCACAATAGGGGGCACTTTGTTGTCGAGTTGTTTCCTCGCTATACGCATACGGGGACCCCAGCCACTTTTGGAATTGAAAATGGATCTTATTTTGATCAAGTTCTTCAGCATCTTGGAGAATGCCGGGGGTTACTGGGGTGAAAAAATATGCCGTGGTTGGGTCAAATTTCGTCTGTTCACTTGGGATGAGCGAGAGTATCCGTACAGAGCATTTTCGTACTCCACAGCTAATCACAGATCATCGGGGGGAAACGACTCTGAAGAGGTACATGGCCAAGGGGAAACAGGTTCTGTCATCGAACGGGAGATGATGCTTACACTGTTTAACTCTATCGTTTTATATTACTAGAGGATTACCGCAGTATATATAAACGCTACCCTACCCTCGAATTCTATACTATTTAACCTTAACTCTTTTTTTACTTATCCTTTCTTTTATTTTATCCTCTCTCTTATTAAAAAATTATTAAAATCGTAATTTTAATAGCTTATTAATAAGCTAATATTATTATTTAAAAATAAATAATTTATTTTTATATATAAATATTAAGAGTTTTATTATTATAAAAATAGTAATAAATATATTAAAATACTTAAAAAAGCTTTTTAATAAATTTTTAATATTATTTAAAATAATTATCCTCGAGCTATAAAAAAAAGCTAAGGCGTTATATTAATATAGCTTTATTTATTTTATTAATATTAATAATACTTTTTTTAATATAAAATATATTAATAATACTTTATAGCTACGTTATTATACTTTATAGATTATATTTAATATTAGCGAGGTTTTTAGTATTATTTACTAAGTTTTTTATTAAGGTCGTTATTATAAAGTTAATTTAATTATTAATATTTTAATAAGTATTTTAACTTAACTTAGAGGCTCTTATAGTTCTTAAAAAGAGGTTTTTAAAAGACTTATAATTAGACTTTTTATTTATTATAAGTAAAGCTATTATAATTAAAGTTATAATAATTAAAATTATAATAATTAAAACTATAGTACTATTTATAAACCTTAATAATAAGTAATTAATAATATAGTTATCTTTTTTTTATAATAAGCTTAAAAAAGTATCTTAATTTAAGTACTAAGTAAGTATTATATTATTTTATTAAAACTATATTCTTATACTTATAACTTAAAAAGAATTAATTTTCTTTAATAATAAGGTACTTAGGGAGATGATGCTTAACTCCTACCCTAATCAAACCTTGCTCAATAGCCTGGGCATTGCTGCGTTGTCTCCATTGTTCATCGTCTGTCCTCGTGTATTGGTCTATTGACCATTTTACACGCTGGTCCTGGCGTTGGCTAGGCAGTCGTCGGGGCCCTTGGGGTCTGAGCGGGCATATAGATGCAGATACTCTGTGCCCTATGACTTACCTATCCGTACGAACACTGAGCAGAGGCGGACTCTGAAGTTGGCTCGTGTCAGAGCAGGCTAAATGTGACGGGTCCCGAGATTCCGTGCGAGACGTCCGTCCGCCCCTTACGTCTCGATTGAAGGTTCGATTGGCGACTGTGTCTAGTGTTGAGGGGAAAACGCAGGCAGGCTGCAGGCTGACTGACCGAGAGTGGCGTAGCGGGCATTCCTGCCGACATTCACCAACTTCGCCCTGTCGTCGTAGGTTGGTGTGTGTGGCTGGAGGCCGACGCAGCTCTTTAAACTTCTCGCTGCTGCTGTCAGCTTGTGGTCTCGCATCCGGTACGAAGAGAGGCAGAGACAGAGACAGGATCAGGACGTGGAGGAAGAGATGCAGCCAATACTAGGCCCAGCTGGTCAAACGTCCTCCCAAAGATTCAGAATAGCAACAGGCCCACACGTGCCCCCGTCTGGTGGAGCTGCGGTCCCAAAACCAAGTCCACCCAATCCCATTGCCCAGTTGTAGTCTCACAGCAAAATAGCCCAGGAAAGTACGGAGAACGAGGATAGCTGTCGCATCTGCCTGAGGAAGCTGCCAGCTGTGAGCAGACGTTAGAGGCCAGCCAAGTACCTTGGTACCGCAAGCAAGGCGCCTGGGTTCAAGCCAACGAGACCCTTTCGACCCTTCCCCGTCCCGTCCATTGAGGTTTGGTGTCTTCAATCTGCACTGTTTGACGCTGCTACTGCTACCCTGCGCCTCCCCGAAAAACCCACGCTACCAACCTTACAAGTTACGCTCAGTCTAACGCCTTGCTGCTAAGTACTTGCTGCTGCTGCGTGTTTAGCTTCCAGTCTCATCCGGTCGGCTCCCTTGCGCTGTCTCCCGAGTTCCCCCCAATTCAACCCCATTCAAGCACCACCGATACCTCAAACACGACTTTCCGCAGATCCCACCCTTTCCGCGGACGACACCTCACATCACCTTACTTCTTGGCCTCTCGACAGTCTCCAAGACGTCCTCTCCTGTTGTGAAATTATTCGACCGTTGCAAGCCAATCATAGCGACTGCGTTGCTTTGCCTCCTGAGCCACTGCCACCGGGGACCGTCCTTCGGCCACTAGGTACCTACTCTCGTCTTCACCTGGGGACCAACTACCTACGGTACAATTGCGCACTCAGCCCGTTGACGTAGCGCAAGCCGACCACTGTGTAATCCTAATCCTGCGCCAGAAAGAGGCTGTGCTGCAACAAATACGGACTGCTGGGCCACTTCTTTTTTCCCACCACATCAGCTACCCTCAGCAAACGCCCAGCTGCGGCGTCGCTTTCATTGCCGATTGTCGTTGTCGTCGTCGTCGCCTCTAGCTACACTGCTCCCGCCGATACGAATCTCCATCATCCACCGATTAGGCTGCCAAATCGTCCGCGACCACACCCTCTCGACTGCATCGCTTCTTCCCTTCATGTGTCCGGAAACACGACGATAATCCAATCACCTCGAAATTCGCATGCTGGCCATTTTGACACTTGCAAATTGATCGCCCAGCAACGCTACCAGCCTTCCCGGCATGACTGGACGACCTACGGGTGGTCCTCCAGGAGGACCCTCGAATAACGACCTACTACTAGACTTGGACAGCGAGCAACCGACCTACAATGCCGGACAGCGATCGAATATGAACGACGACGACCTTTTACGCTCCTACAACCACAATCAAGACCAGGCCCAGGGCCGACCCTCCGTTTCGTACGATGACTTTGTGGGCGGCGGCGGCGGAGGAGGGGGAGGGAATCACACACAGCAACCCTCAGCACTGAGACCGTTACCTGGAGGCCCTCAATCGCCTGGTGTCTCTGGCGGCGCATCTTCCGGCCCATACATGCAGAGACACTACAGTCAAACATCAGAACTAAACAATTACCAGCGATACGCTGACGACTTTGACGACTACTCGGCCGAAGGCGAATCGTACTACCAACAAGGCGGCGCCGCGACGAGTGCGAACAATGTCGGTGACCCCTCCGCGAGGTCCAATGCTCGGAACCGTAACAGCGTCCTGAGTTTGGGTGGAGGCTTCTTTGGCCGCATGAAAAATAAGCTTGGGATGGGCCAAGGTTACTCGGAGATGGACTTGCCCTTGACGGAGGCTGGCGGCAACGGACGGACAGACTCTGGCATCGATGCGCAAGCCAAGGGGGGCAAGAAGTTCGACATGGGTAACTTCAAGTTTGGATTCGGAGGGAAGAAGCCGGACCCTTCGACACTGGGTCCCAGATTGATCCATCTCAACAAC